AGAAAGGTTGCAGTGGCGTGGGGATTTTAGTTCTTTACTTGTTTGGTGGAAAACAGTACAGGTAGTTATCGCTGCTGTGATCTGTATGTGTTCCTGGGCATATGAAACACAAATATTGACATGCATAAGAATTTGAAGATGACTAAAATAAGGGAGAACAAACTCTTCTTGTCATGTGAAAATTATGTCTACATCAAATTTCGAGTTGTCAGCATTGATGGAGGTGATGTGTCATGGCTGTTTTGGCATAGAAGAGTTTGCTGTAGGAGTTAATTTTCTTCTGCAAGGTAAAAAAACCCCAAACAAATCAAATATATAGCTCTCCCTTTCACCACCCCCACCTACTTCTGTCAGCTCTGAGCCTTGTAGGGATCTGCAGGGGGTTGGAGAATGATTCTGTTTTAAAAACAAAAAGCTCAATCAAAGGAAAATATTTTGTTTTAAAGAGACCTTTGGCATCCCCCTCTGACTGTGACACCGAATTTGCACAGATAAAAACAACCTCTTAGATTTACATTTTGATTGTGCTTCTGCTTTCATGTGTGCCGGGCTGTCCCACTTCAGGTGAAATTTATCCATTTCTTTAAATATTTAGCAGTCTAGCGTTGATGTTAATGAAAGTCTGGCGCTGCTATTTTGAGCATTGCAACAATGATAGTAATTTTCAGTGTCAGATTACTGCTTCTCGGAGGAAAAGGGAGATGGGAGGAGGGAAGAGCGAAAAAAAAAAAAAATTGTTTCGGGTCTAATAGAGTTTGTCATCAGCCTGGCTGTGCCAGACAGATGGATCATGAATACTGTCTAGACGCTCTCTGCCTGAGTGGAGTTGTGGTCTCTAAGGACAAGCAATGAGACGCCGGCTTAAGTGACTAGGGAAAGTCAGGACGTGCTCCCCTCTAATCAGATAGCCATCCGGGCTGATCCTGCCCCGCTGGTGCTGGGAGCCGGTCAATACTGATCTCAGCTGAAACTTGGCTATTACGGGGCTTTAGGGGCGAAAAGAGAGGGATGGTGTTATGACGCTATTGATTTCAGCTACATCTGGCCAGGGACCAGGAGGGCTTCCCTGCTGGCTGGGGGCCCTGACTGTCATCCTTCCACCCGGTGTGTATCCTGTAAGTTTTCCCTCCTTCCCTCCTCTTGCTCGCTGTGCTCTCTCTCTGCGCCCGGACATTCCCAGGAGCTTACTCTGTTCTCTGGGGAGCTCTTACTTTGGGCCTTGTCTACAGAGGGAACGAGGAGATAGCGAAAAGTTCCTCAGGACAGCAGGCAAGCAGGAGGAAATGCAGAGACTGCCTATTCCTTAATCCGTTTTCCTACAGTACCTTGCAGTGTTTTCTGTAGGTGGTGCTTGTCCTCCTCCCCATTAGAAAGCTGCCAAGTGGGATGCTCAGGCTAGTGGGAATGGAATGGTACCTTGGCCTGGTTGAGTTCAAAAATGGAAGCCAAGTTTGAACAATCTGGTTATTGCATTTAATCTCCCATCCGAGTGGATTTGGGTTTTGGGTTTTACTTCTCCACTTTCTCTTCTTCGTTATCCCACTCTACTCAGCTCATGTGAGGCCGCACCTGACTGAACTGTGTTCAGTTTTGGTCCCTCCTATACAAAGAAGATGTGGACAGGCTGGAGAGGGTCCAGAGAAGGGCCCCAAAGATGATCAAAAGACTGGGAAGCCTGCCATGTGAGGAAAGGCTGAGAGAAGTGGGTTTGTTCAGCCTCAAGAAGAGAAGGCTTAGGGGAGACTTTGTTGCCCTATTCCAGTATTTAAAGGGTGACTACAAAGAAGATGGGAGACTCCCTTTTTGCAGAGAGTCACATGGAAAACATGAGGGGTAATGGGTACAAGTTACTCCTGGAGCAATTCTGACTGGAAGCAAGAGGAAAATTTTTCACAGTGAGAATAATGAGCCATTGGAATAATCTCCTCAGGGAAGTTGTGGATTCCCCAACATTGGACATTTTTAAGATTCAGCTGAATAGGGTGCTGGGCCACCTTGTCTAGACTATGTTTGCCAAGAAAGGTTCGACCAGGTGATCCTTGAAGTCCCTTCCAACCTGGTATTCTATGAAATGCACATTCATCATGTGTGTAAGACTTCCCAGAGTTGCTTGAGTCTCTGGTATGTGTTGGGTTTGGGAGGTGTATTGCCAGACCAGCAGTTAGAGCTGTTTTCAGATGAATTTAGCTCAAGGATCTGCTTGGACTAACAAGCAAATGAGTAAAGTACTTATGAGCAGGAATTGAGAGAACTTTTAAAGTCTTTCCACTTTAAGTGCTTGTGACTTTAAATTGGTTCTTGGAGTGCTGGCAAGTACTTCTGACTTAAAAGACACTTTCTGGAGCATGGAAGGGTGGGCAAGATCATAGTGATCTCTCTTAATCAGCATTTACATTTTTATAGCAACATAATTCTGAAGTGCTTGTTGAAATGCATGAGGGACTATTGTATCTTGTTAATTCTCTGTCTGTTCTAGTCACCTCTGTATAAAAGGGGGGTTTTAAGACAATTTTAGCAAAATAATCTGTTTCAGGAATAGAAATCAACTTTATTTTGGGACTCATTTGAATGTATATTTAATTTATACATAATTCACACCACCTGGTAGTTCTCTATTGAAATGTTTTCTACCACAGTCAGTATGCTTAAACTAAAGCTGACAGGGAAGAGTGTTTGGCCCTGGAGATATGCTTGGGAGCTGTGGTAAATCATGTTACCTCTTCGTGGGGTCATGAATTGGCTCGGGAATCCCTTTGGGGATTGTGAATACTGGCGTGATAAAGCTGTGGTAAGCCAGAGCATTGGTCTTTATACAGTGATGCTGGTGGCAGAACTGACATTTTGATTTCAGACCTGAAGACAGAATGACATGCTGAGAGGCTCAAGAACAGGATAAAACCAGTAAATGTAGCTGTAACTAGCAGTAAGACATTGAAAGCCCAACTCAAATCAGCTAATTCACTGCTGTTGAAGTTCAGAGTTAATTTTGGTATTTGAGTTGGTGATCTATCAAAATAGTATAAAAAGGACATGTAGCATCTTAGTCAATGTTCTGCTTTAGTTGACCAGTGCTCTACCAGTGTGGCTAGCAGCAGCTGCTCAGTTAGGAAGAGAAAGCCAGTTGCCTAAATCCAGTTTGTTATATATTTGTTGGAGATGTAATCAGGCATGGATGGTTGAAGTAATGCTGTTTCTCCGGAGGAAGATGTTACAAGATCTTTCATGATGCAGAGGTGGCTGGCTTGTGCTGTGTTGAGATACTGTTGGTAACTTTTACTTTCCCTGTGTGCAAAAGAAAGTCTTCCTGGCAGGGTTCTGTCTCAAAGCTTGCAGGATTTGTGTGTAGCCCTCAGTTCCCCAGAATTTTATGTTCTGGAGGGAGAAGGGGGAATAACAGTAAAGTAGGAAATTAGGAAAAAAAAAATATTTCAATTTAAACTAAAATGAGAGGAGCAGCTGTAGAGCCTGTGAAAAGCAGTTGGTTCTGGCTAAGACAGATATTGGACATCATAAACCTAATTGTGTGGAAAATCTACTTAGTGTTCTCTAGGGATCACAAGCACATGATTGTGCTTTTAAAGGGTCGATGTATTTAAGCTTACAGGAACTGAAACTTCCAGTGAGTCTAGAAAAATAGATGGAAGCTTTAGATAACACAATTATAATAACATTATTGCTAGACTGCTTGTCACTCTACCATCCCAAATAATAACAAATGAGCTCTGTTCATTCTCCCTCTCTTTCTGAGCTCCAGTGTAGGAGTTGCTATTGGAATTGTACTTCCAGCTGTAGCAGCACAATAAATTTGTTGGGAGAACTAATTTAGTGTGAGGTTCTGGAAAAAAAAAAATTGAGTAGAGAAAAAAAAAAGAGGATAGGAGGAAAGATGAAAAGCTTAAAATGTATTTGAGCCCTAGAGTATAGGGATTGATTACAGCATATTGGCTTATATAGAGACATTTAAGTTAAATAATATGATGGAAGTGGCTGCAGGAGAGATAAATCCCACAGCTGGGAAAGATGTCTTTGGATGTGACTGTGGATATAATATGTGGATGAACAGAGGTGGGAAACTTCTGCAGGAACAGAAAGCTCAGAGGTGTCTGCCAAAGGTTAAGAAGTCTCCCTGCATCCTTTCTGCAATTCTGGAGGCCTGCCTCTGGCATATGGTTTCAGGTTTGGTTCCAGCCACTTTCAGTTTTGTATTCTCTTCAGTGCCTCGGTAATGAACAGTTTAGTAGTAGCACTGCTGTCAGTGCTGTACAGGCAGTGCTCACATCTGTTGTGGTAAGTGAATGAAGAGTTTTGGTCTGGGCTTAAAAAAAAAAAAAAAATACAGTCCATTCTCTGTTTCCAGCTGTGATTGCTGTAACATGTGGGGATGCTGGGCTAGCTCAGGAGCGTGCAGGCTAGCTCAGGAGCAGTAGCGTACAAACAGGGCTGTGCTTTACTCGAGTAGTAAACACTGTGCTTTGCTGGAGTAGTAAACACTTCAGCAGAATATTTGACTAGGTTCTGAACTGGCTTTTGGAATTGTTCACACTGGAGGTTTTAATGCTGATGTTTTTCTTCCTCAAAAATTTGTATCTGAATCACCAAAGTGTCCACCTGAGAAGACTGCTGAGCATTTGTTTGCACCTTGAGTGCTTGTTGTGCCAGCGGAGATGAGACAAAATTTCACTGGAAGACTTGCATCTTGCCCTCCACAGAAACTATGCTGCAATTCCACAGTCCCTGTTTCTCTTCCTTTCCTTTCCTCCCCAGCCCTCCCTCTCTCTCTTTTTTTTTTTTTTTTTTTTTTTTTTTTTTTTGTTGGCCTTGGTGCTGTCCTTTCTCTGGTATTCCAAGAAAGGCAGAAAAGAAATCCTGCATTTCTGCCGAGTAGTAGAAAATGTGCCTTGACTGAATAAAGATCTGCCCTTCTCTGGGTTTATTTTGAACAGGAATTCTTGCACAAAATCAGTCTTGAAAAATTCCCTTTTAGCTCCATGCATGTAAACAGGATACCTGGGGTGAATATGAGATGTCTCTAACAGCAGGTATTACTGGCTGTGGATAGTGCCATGCTGATGTTGGAGTAGTAATAATTTTTCTAGTATTTGTATGAATTTTTTTCTCATACATTGGGTGAATTGTATTGTGAGGTTCCAACGTAATGGACGTTTTTGGACAAAAAAAAAGGTAGCATTTGCCTTGCTTTGAATTTGTGGATGCTTGCACTTGAAGCATGAAATGAATGCATGCTAAATGCAGGTGGAGCAAAGTGATAGCTGGCTAAAGTATGCGTGACCTCCCCAGAAGCTTTGCTGGCACAGGCAGGCAGCAGCATGGCTCCCTTCTATTGCTGAATGAAGTTATAAGGTACTGCTTGACAAGTGGATTAAGAGAGACTGTCCTAACAAGTCAGGCCATAAAGTAAAACCTTTGCATTTCAAATAGGTGAAATAATCAGACTAATCTGAGGAAGAGATTCATATCCAGGGCATCTTAGTGCAACTTTAGTTCCTCCCTTCCTGGTCAGGACTTTCTTGACCGCTTTTTTGCTTATCTGCCAGGTTGTGGGAAGGGTTTGGGTGAGACTTGGATAAAATGTTTGGACTGAAGTTTTCTTGTCTCCCTCCCAGCCAGTGCCAACAGCACTGGCTCAGGTTGACCGTGAAAAGATCTACCAGTGGATCAATGAGCTGTCCAGCCCCGAGACACGGGAGAACGCGCTGCTGGAGCTGAGCAAGAAGCGTGAGTCTGTGCCTGACCTTGCCCCGATGCTGTGGCACTCATTTGGCACAATCGCAGCGCTCCTGCAGGTGGGTAGGACTGGCAGCATCTTGATTCCGTGGTGCAGCACCAGCACATTGCAGAGCTTGTGTGTCCACGGGGCAGATCTGGGTAGGCACCAGTGGGGTCCCTTATTGTTGTTGCTGGGAGTATGATGTATGTTGAATCGTGTGGTGGTGGGGCAGATATGGGAACCCCATTGGCCATTAATTATCGGTAGCAAGGCGTTCTGTGCAGGGACTGTAAGATTTCTAATTAGACAGCTTATATAGTTGGAAGGGGAGCAGGCGAGTTCTTGGCTGTATGAGCTCCCTGCGGATCACGTTCTGCTTATTTTCATACAGTGGTGTAGCAGAGCCAGAACAGTTTTTACTCCTAAGATCTCTGGTTTAATTTATTTTGCATGAGCTTGAACACTTCCTGGTCCAAAGGTTACCCCTGCAGGGAGCCCACTGGAAGGGCAGCGTGAGAATGCTGCTCACTGCTCCAGAGATCCTTGGGTGGGACTGTACCTGCATTTCATGTGAAACCGAGTGGTTCAGCTTATCTATGGGCAAACTACTCTACAGCTGATGACTGGCCATCTCTCAGTGCCAAATCTAGTTACTTCTTTCGAAGAAGGAAAGAAAAGAGTGCAGGATTGGCAATGTCAAACTATTCTCGGAGTGGCCCTCAAACAAGTGAAGAAAATTAGAGGGAGCTGTAGTTGGAAGCAGGCAGAGTTCTGAATCAGATTTCTTGCCATCAGCTGCTTCCCCTGCATTGAGTTAAGAGTTACTGGCAGATACAGTATGAATGGAGTGGGTGTGCTCTGCCTCTAGGCAGAGGAACAACACTCCTCTTCGATCTGGAAGTTCAAAACAAAACAATCCCTACACTAGTAAAGAGCCAGAAAATCAAATGAACCTGTTTTTACTGAAATTAAGGTTTGAATGTGTTCCTGTGACTTGTCAAATTTACTCTGACCCAGCTCTGCCCTTGTCTGGGCAGCATGGTGGCTGTCATGTAACTTCAAAATGATACTTGGTGAAAGCAGAATGTCATCTCCTGTCACCACAGTGCCTTGCTGAGCAAGTGCTTCAGTGCAGCTTTCTGATGTTTTTCCTCCTTTAACTTATCTTTGTCTGTTAATTTTTAGGAAATTGTAAATATTTATCCATCAATCAACCCTCCGACTTTGACGGCCCATCAGTCCAATAGAGTCTGCAATGCTTTAGCTCTACTACAGTGTGTTGCATCACATCCTGAAACAAGGTAAGTGTTTCCAAGTACGTGAGCGTTCTCAAGTGTTGATGTTGACAGCTCAGCCTGTCTCTTTGACTCTGGAAGTATGTTAGCTCCTTTTTTTTTAAAAAAAAAAAAACAAGAGAAGTGGAACAGAGGACAGAGCTGGAAGGTAGGCAGCTGCCTGCTGCTTTTACTTCTTTGCATGCATTATCAGGATGACTGCTTTATGGTGGCCCTAAATGCATTGCATTCCCTGGATCATCCTGAGATCCTGCAAATTCCCAAAACAATTGGGTTGTGGCAGCTCCTGTGAGCTCAGCCAGAGATGAGGGTGCCTTTGTGCTGAGTGCTGTGTGCAGGATCCTTGTTTTAATGAGCTTACAGTTATTTAGACCAGCAGCTTACAGTTATTTAGACCAGCTGTCCAAAGGTTGCATTGAGCAGGACTGTCCTTCCCAGACACTGTGTGTGGCAAGGGAGCAATAGCAGAGTGATGTCTGGAGTCTTCAGCCAGTGCCTGACAGTTTTTCTCAATCTTTGTCCAGCCCATGTCAGCAGGGGAAGAGATAATGTTGGTTCAGCCAAAATCAATAGCTAAAACTCAGAAGAAAACTACCAAGAGATCCATGATTTCATACTTCTGTTCCTGCTGAGAAGAAAGTGCTGCATAGCTGAAGTTGTTTTTCAGCTGCTGCAAAGTAGTGTTAAACAGCAACCCTCTATGAGATGATACCCTAGGAAATAAGGCAGTTTTACACCACACACCTTTACATTTAAAGTTTGAAAACAAAGGAGGAATGTTGGTTGTGCAGGAGAGCTTCCCTCTGCTAGCAAAGCAATCTCCAGGTTTTTTCCTTCAGTCTGTATTTCTCACCATTGTCAGAAGATGGGATGTCACTCCTGGGGAAAGATGGTTGTGCACATTTAAACTGTGGTGCTGCCTAGACATCAGCCAGTCTGGATTTCTGTCATGCAGAGGCTTTGCATATGCGTTGTGGTTGACTATCCCTGCCCATGGGAGCCTGCAAGGTAAAATGCAACAGTGAATGTACAAAGCAGAAAGTCTGGGTGCCAGGAAGAGGTAATAAAAGCAACAGGACGTGCTTTGTTCCTCGTCAGCTGGAAGCAGCCATGCAGGTAACTGTCAGTTTAGTGTTAGGTTTTGTGCTGTGCAGAATTTACTTCATACCTTTCCATCGGAGAACAAACTGTTACGCTCTTTTAAGGAGCAGCAGCAATGGTTTCTGTCAGGAATAGCCTGAGGCTCTGCATGGTAACGATTGTGTGCTTGCTTTGTTTTCCGTGTCTCTCATGTTGGGTGTTCTTTTCCTACAGGTCAGCTTTTCTGGCAGCTCATATCCCTCTCTTCCTGTACCCCTTCTTGCACACAGTTAGCAAGACACGACCATTTGAGTACCTGCGGCTCACGAGCCTTGGAGTGATTGGTAAGTAGCCACACCAATCCTGGAGCACTGGTTTCTTACCAAGTTGGATGCAGTTCATGCTGTGGGTATGAGACCTGTACAACCAAAATCACAGGTCTCTCTTTATTGGGATTTTCTGGGTCCTGTAGTATTAACAGGAGGAGCTGCTCCTTTTCCATCGGTTGTAGAAGCAGGTTCCTCTTAGTCTGTAGGAACTGGTCTTTTCACTAATAAGAAAACACTGAAGTCTGTACCTTGCCAAAAACATGTTTCCTGTGAGTACAAGTACCTGCAGGCTGCCTTCACCCTCAGTCGAGCCAGCTAGACACTGGCATGGGTGGGTGCAGACTGGGCTTTCTTTGGGTTTTTGTCATTGATTGGCTTGCTTGTATTTGCCCTGTCTTCCTCTTGCCTGTTTTTCTTCTTTCTGCCCCAAACATTTCTCTCTGTGTAAAGTAAGGGAGTCTTAAAATGCATTTCTTCTTCCCAGAAGAAGAAGAAATACTGTGGGTAGCATGATCCTCTTTGTGTTACCACTGGGAGAGAGCCAAGAATGCATCCCCTTTCTGAAAAACAAACAACCCCCAAACCCAGCTTGATTACTTTTATGCTGCCAAAACGATTTCTCCTCCAGCCATGTGCTGCAACATATTTAGGATGACAGTTGCTCTGCCTGCCATTCAGACTTAATGATTCCTAGGGAGGACACAGCCTTTGAAAGGTGAGATTTTTTTGGAAGCAATTTATCATTTATTGTTTTTTGGGTTTTGTTTTTCCTTCAAGGGGCCTTGGTGAAAACTGATGAACAAGAAGTGATAAATTTCTTATTGACAACAGAAATTATCCCCCTGTGCTTACGCATTATGGAGTCTGGCAGTGAACTCTCCAAAACGGTACCTACTCTTTTTGTCTTAAGACTTCTTGTTGTTCATCTCTGACTAACGAAGCAGCTAGTAACCTAAGGAGTTGGCTTGTGTCCTGTTGCAAATGCTGGGGCAACTCTGGGTGGAGCTTTTTACCTCTTCAACAAACAGACCAAACTTAAGTTGGAGTTCCTGAGCTTGGTAGTTTTGCTGGGAAAGATCTTGCTGCTCTCAACACTCATTCCCTCCTTTGCAACCCTTCAGAGTAACTTTCAGGGCTGACCTGGATCAACTTTCCTTGGCTTGAGAGAAAATGCTGTAGCTACACAGCGCAGAGGTTGGGCAGCAGCTGTTAGTGGTGGTTATGGGCATGTTCACTGCACTGGACCAGTTTTTCTTCTCTGATGAGGGGCCCCTTTCCCTCATGAGCTCAGATCTGTGGTCAGACTGGTCTGATGACCCAGGTAGGCTGGCCACAGGTTTTAGTCTGTGCGTACTTCTCTGGTGAACCCTGCTGACAGAGCTGGCTGAGGTTCTTCCAGAAAGTCACTTGTCTCATGGTGAATCAGTAGTGCTCAAGATGAAAACAGCAAGATGACATCTTGCTGTCTAGATGACAAGGTCAAGGGACAGATCCTTCTGCTTCTTGCTCTGTGACTAGAGCAGCATGCCTATAATCTTGAGGCTGTCCTGGCAGTAGTTGTTGTCTTTCACAACCTGCATCCAGTTATCATGTACACACTGCTTTGTATCCATCTCTTTTCTTTAGCCCGAGATGCCAAGCTTTGTGTAGTGTCCTATGTTTTCTTTTGGCTTTAAGCTTTTTCTGAGTAAAGTATTTGCTGCCTGCTGAAAGGCCTTTCAGCTCTGGGACTGTCTTGAAAAGAACACAGCACAAAGGCTGTCCCTTTTCAGGATAGATAAGTTGTTTATATGCTTTCTCACCATTCTAGGTTGCTACGTTTATTCTTCAGAAAATCCTCCTAGATGACACAGGGCTGGCATATATCTGTCAGACTTATGAGCGGTTTTCACATGTTGCCATGATACTGGTAAGATGATTTGTTTCCTGACCCAAGACCAACCTCCTTTTTTTTTCTTTTTGAACCTGGCTCCTACTAGCTGCTGCTTATTACTCTAATTCTTGTGTTGGAACACAGAAAGAGCAGACAGGTTTTGTCCATTCCCTGTGTCCTGTGAAGGAGAAGGTGGGATATTCATAATTTGTTCATCCCAGGAGTAATAACCCCAACTTGAGTTTTATTATCTTTGAGCTTACTGTGGGGAATACATGTCTGGCTTAGAATAACTATTGTCCTGCTTTTGTGTGTGTTTGGTTGGTTGCTTTTTAAAGAGCAGTCTCAGGAAAGGAAAAAGCAGCATTAAGTTAAGTGCTTTGCAATGCTGGTTCTGTGCCTAAATGTTGATTCTTTCATGGGGAATATTTATTTGTCTCTGTTTTCCCAAATGTAAAGAAAACATTATCTCCCAATTCACCCACGAACAGCAAAATATGAATGATTGTGAGCTGATGCCCGTAATATCCAATGTGACATGATTTCTGCATTCAGAAAAAGGATTGGCTTTGAAAATATATCTGGCTTGGGGGCAAAGTGCAAGATGCAATTAGAGACCCTGGGGTAGGGGATGGAGGGGAGGGAGAGATGCCAAGGATGAATCTGTGGCTGGGAAGGGTACAAACACAGAAGGATGTGAGTGATAAAGCAGTATTAGCATGGAAGGGAAATCCTAGCTGTGGTACAATCCCAATATTGGATGAAGCACTGACATGATTAATATTCTGTAGCACTATGGAGAAAGATGAAAACGTTCATAGACATTTCTGTTCTCTATTTCAAAAATTGGGATAGCGTACTCCTGTCTCATGAAGGTGATGATTTACTTCCTTGTCTGCTGATAACCAAGTAAGATGTTACGCAAGTATTAGATGCTTTTAAAAGAGCAAGTTAGCATTTGCCATCCAGGAGCTGTCTGAGGAGATCTCCGACTTGTTCTTTATTTCGAAGAAATACTGGTATCCTGGGGAATTGCTGAGAACAGGAAGCTTGCAAAAGGGCAAAAGAGGGGGACCTGCTAATTGCTAAGTGCCTGAATATCCAAATACAGGTGAATTTGGCTAATGAGGAAAATGGTGCTAGCCAGTGTAGTCTTACAGGAAAAAACCTAACTGGGGCAGATCTTACTGACTCTTAAATATGAGGAAGCAGATTGTTAAAATGCCTTCAAAGCACGTGTATGAAGACATCCACACCATTTGCTGGGCTGGGTGCATTCAAAGGTGCAACCATGTGCAAAGGCCTACACAGCGTGAGAAACAGATCTGCCGTGGTCTTGCTTTCCGGTAATGGCTTATGAGGGATGTAACAGAAAGAGAAAATACAAATCTTGGGTGTGTGATAAGGCCAGGTGCAGATCTTACTGTATGTGGTGTGGGTGAGCCCAGTCCTTAAGCATGGCTTCCCAGGCTGTTGTTAACGCTTTAAAAGGGCGTTGGAGTGAAGGCAGTGCAGATGAGAACAGGGAGTGTTTCAGAGCTTGGAAACAGACCTTTCAGAGTGACTCAGCCTAAGCATATCAAAGCGTTTGGGATATGTTTGCCTTCTTGCACAAGGGGCAAACCCCAGGCTCTCTTTAATCTAGAAGAGAGTTGGACCACTAAGCAGTCCTGGGGAATTAAAAACTGAATAGATGAGATCACCTTTCCCTGAGCTGCTGGGAGAATCCTTTCCGAGTCATGGCTAGTGCTCTTCTCAAAGGCATCTTGGCAGGCAGCGCCGGGCTCCATGCAGGGGTATCTAGATGAAACGTAATGGGCTGTGATGTGCGGAAAGCCAGAGTGAGAGACTTTGATGCTCTTTCCCAGTCTCTGCTGATTGTGAAGCTGTTCTGACAAAGACTTTAACTGGTGGTGCTGGCCTCTGTCAAACAGGGTAAAATGGTCCTGCAGCTCTCCAAGGAGCCCTCGGCACGGCTACTGAAACATGTCGTCCGCTGCTACCTTCGCCTTTCTGATAATCCCAGGTAAACATTTTAGGAGTTTGCTCCCTTGGAATTGCAGTTCCTCTCCACAGTGCCCATGTGGGGAGAGTCGAGGTTCCTCATGTGCTCTTGCATCAGCCTTAGCCCAGTGTGCAAAATGGGTGGGTTTTTTGGTTGCTTTGTGGTTTTTATTGCTAGTCCCAGGAGCTTTTATGGTACATGGGAGAAACAGTGACTGTTTGGGACTTGTACAGAATCAAGCTGTTCAGGTTACGACTGCCTGAGCTTAAATGTAGCTTGAACAAAGTATGAGGGAGGGGCTGAGGCAGAAGGTACACTGTGCTTTCCCTCTTCTGCATCACATGTGCTGTTAGCAGTAGAAGCCAATGGATTAAATTCAGTTGAGGGAATTCAAACTGATATCATGCTGATCAGCAGCTCTGTCCAAAGCCACTGGATAGTATGTGTTGTCTCAGACTCTTCTGGCATCGTATTGCTCTTGGCTGCTGGGTGTCAGGATGCAGGGGTTGGCTCGGTGGGGTCTGGTGTGAGGGGTGGGAGCCATGCTGGCTGGCCAAGCACCACATGCTGTGGTGCTGCTGCTGGGTGCTCTCCTTGGCTGGGCCTGCCAGGGAGACCTCAGGCAAAGGAGGGTCGTGTCCCCACTGGGGTTTGCTCCCCTCTTGCCCCTGTGAGTTTATTTGTTGGGCCCCGTTTCTTGTCTCTTGATGTAGGGCACGTGAAGCTCTCAGGCAGTGCCTTCCTGACCAACTGAAGGACACCACCTTCGCCCAGGTCCTGAAGGACGACACCACCACAAAGCGCTGGCTGGCTCAGCTTGTCAAGAACCTGCAAGAGGGTCAAGTCACTGACCCACGGGGCATCCCTCTTCCTCCGCAATGACTGCTGGGGGAGGTGGGGGACCGGGGAAGAAACAGCTCAGGTTTACAGAGAACCAGAAACAGGTGACCTCTTCCGCAACAAACTGGGCACGCCAGCTGGCTGCCGGCCTGTCGGACCATCCCACCCAACCAAGGGGCTGCTCTGTAGCAATGCAGCATGCCTCTGGGGATCACAACACCAGCAAATGCTGATACTACAGCTTAAAAAGAAAAATCAATAAAAACAATCTGTAAAGGTCCCCATCTCTTCAGGAGGCTTGGCTGGCATCTCTCCCTCCACTGCTAGGCAGGGGCTGGTGCGGATGTCTGCTCTTCCAGCTAGCTCAGCCTCCGCCCGAGTGGTGCATGACATGGGCTGTGCACACCACGTCCCTCCAGTTCCTTGTCACTTCTTGTTTACACGTCTGTTTAGATGAGTGAGCTGAATAAAAGCTGATCCAGTTGCTTTATCCCCTCTTAAGACTGCTACTCAGCTGCAGGTAGCCCAGGGACAGCTTTCTTCCTTGCTAGCACATCCTTGCTCCTGGCTCTGTATCCAGCTGGTGCAGCGAGCTTCTCTTTTCCTTTCCTCTGGCATGGAGGCAGTGTGCTTGCCCCAAGAGGAGGGGTGGATTACTTGTAATGAACCCACGCACCATAAGCATGTTTCCTCTGGGGGAGGAGAAGACATCAGGACTGTGGCTCTTGCGCTGTAAATAGCACAGTCCCGCAGCTAACCAGCGGCCCCGGGCTGATGTGTCCTGGCCTCCTGTCTAGCCCAGCTCTTGTGCAGTAGGGCTGCTGGTTGGTTCATCAAACGGAGCTTGGCGTTAGGAAACCTTTGTTGTGGTGGGCAGACTACTGACTGATTGTCCTCTGCCGCGGGACAGCTGAGAGCGACGTCCCGTGGGCTCCAGGTGCGCCGGCTTCTGTGGCCACTGCTGCCTGCCAGGCGCCTCTCAGTCCTGGCCCCCCTCCCTTTTCCCCCCTTCCTCCAGCTCATCTCTGCCAGCCGGGTGCATCCATTTCAGCTTTCAAACCTGCCTTGGCGTCTGCCTCAGCCCCACCGCAATTAGACTGGACCAACAGCCGCTTACCTGCCTTCCCTGGGCTGCAGGGTTAGCGGGGCTGCAGCGGGCACTCTGGGATGTGGCCGAGGACTCCCGGGCTCTGCTGCAGTGGAGGCTGCTCTTGGCTGCAGGCAAGCCTGGGCAGCTACTTGGTTTCTCCCCCCTCCTCGAATAGCCCATTTTGCTGATCATCTGCGGTGTCGTGCCAACAGTGTCTTAAATCCCATCTCGTTTCCCTTCCCTCCTCCCTTTGCAGCCTTGCATAACCAGGGCAGAGCACGGCCTTTTCCTTGCCCCCAGGGTCCCGTTTTATAACCATTGCCTTCTTTTCCCTCCCCTCCACCCTGACCTTGACAGGGTGTGAAAATGCTTGTTGGGTTTTTTTGTAAGTTCAGATTAATAAATAATAAAACCCCAGACAGCAACATTGCTCCTGGTCTGGTCTCTTGGGGAGGGCAAGCAGTGAGGGGGGTGGATTTATTGCAGGTGGGAGGAAGGAGGGAGCTGTGCCAGCTTGGGGATGTGAGCTGGGGAGAGTCTGTGGCCTTTCCCGGTGGGAGCTGCCTGCAGCCCTGTGTCCCTCTATCTCTCCAGGTAACGTGGAGGGGTTTTGGGGAGGAGGTGCTGCTCAGTTTTGCTTTGGAGGAACCTTCCTGCAGTGTGTGTGCAGGCGCTGCCCACACTTGCCCGGGGCCTGGCGCTGTCAGAGCACCGACAGCCTCAGGTTTGGTCCCTGCTCTGCCTGCCCCAGGGGTGTCCCAGCTCGGGTCCCTGGGGGGGGGGGGG